CCACCACCAGTGGCCACCCCACCACCACCAGCGGCCACCCCTCCACCACCAGTGGCCACCCCTCCACCACCAGCCCCACCACTCCACCACCAGTGGCCACCCCACCACCACCAGCGGCCACCCCTCCACCACCAGTGGCCACCCCTCCACCACCAGCGTGACTGTTCAGAGGAGGTCACCAGGAACAGGACAAGCACCAGAAGACAGGTGGACATGCCAAGTTCCTCCACCAGGCAGCCCCACGCGGAGCGTCCTCCTGAACCCACACGCGGGGCCAGGTTTCAGGGAGGCGCCACAGGAGGCCTATGGGCTCAGCTGCCCGGCACTGGGCTGCTCCATCGTGAGCTCATCTTGCTCCTCACACTGTCTCAAGTTCCCCGCCACATGGTCACTGAGACGCGAGGCCAGCAGCRGAGTCACGCTGTGTGGCCCAGGTGAATCGGGGTCGTGTGGAAACCCTGTCCATGCTCCTGAGTGGGGCAGAAGACCCCGTCTGCCCRGAGTGGCCAGAGCTGGAGCCAGCAACCTTGGGCAAGCCCCTGCAGGGCTCGGTGCGGCTGCCCCCAGGCAGGTCAGTGCCCTAGAGGACGCCCCCAACCACACAGGATCTCGGAGGTAAGCCTCAGTGGGGTCGGGTGGCCTTGGCCGGTGCCTCTGCCTGGCCCCCAGCAGCCCGCAGACTCCGCCCAGAGTCCCCCAGAGCTGAATACCCACAGCCACGCTGGCCACACGCCACAGAGGCCAAGGGGAGACCTCACGCACGTAGGAGCRGGGCCCTGGGGCTGGGGTGAGCTGTGAGCTCCCGCTCCCTGCTGGCCCAGCCTCCTCCTGGTCACTGATCCGTGGCTAGTATGTGGACACCCCCAGCCACACACCCCCTTGGGAAAGCCACGGGTCACACCACACCCCCGGAGGGAGCCTGGACCCCCCTCACCACCTGGACCCACAGAGCCCCTCACCCAGAGCCGACATCAGGACCCACAGAGCCCCTCACCCAGAGCCGACATCAGGACCCTCACAGGGAAAGCTTCCAAGGGCAGGTCAGAGGGGCAGGAGACTGAGGCCAGAAGAGAGCCCAGACCTCCTTAGGGCCCTGATTCGGTGGCCCCAGCCCACTCCTGGAGGAGGCCCACACGTCCCTGAGACCCTAGTGCGACTGGAGGGCCGGAGGACGCCGACCCTGGCCTCTCTGAGAGGACCCACTCTCCTGGAGAGGGTCCCCTTTCTCCTCTCCTGTCCTTCCTGATAAAGTCACGTCTGCCACCCTGAGCCACAGACCTGAAGCCTTCCTGGCCTGACCCAGGTAGTGGGGAGGGGCTTGTACTGCCACAGCTCTGGGGCAGACCTGAGCCCTGGAGCAGTCACCACGGTCACCAAGGGCCATCCTGCCCTGGCTCAGCCCCGAGCCTGCCTCTGAGACACGGGGCTGTGGTCAGCATGAGGCCTGGGGGCAGGCGGCAGAGTGGCCAGGAGGCTGGACGGGGGAACAGAGGTGAAGGATGGGGATGCACAGGTGAGCTGGGGAGCCACTAGGAGTCTGCAGCTGTCTGGAAGCACCACCAGGGCTGGGGAGGGCAAAGCACCATGAGTGAGTGGGGCTGGTGGGAAGAAGCAAAGCCCAAAGACTACCCAGGAATGCTCAGGGAGGAAGGGAGTGGCTGGAGATGAGCCGCTGCAGGGCCACCCAGGCCCGCCCCCCGGCCGCTTGACTTCAGCAGAACTCCACCCTCGGGGCTGGTTGAATTTCATGCCAACTTGGGAGCCACAGTGAGCTTTAGAAATGGGAGGCAGAGAATCGGGCCCTGCGGGTAGCTGCTGCCGCCGTGGATGCCAGCCTTTCACGAGGCGCTAGCCCCTCAGGTGTCCTTCACACAGACATCAGAGCCACAGCTCTGGCTGGACGCTGGCCAGGCCATGCCTCCGGAGGGGCCAAGGCATCGTGACTTTTGTTAACCCCTCTGAACTGTCAGCACATGGCACGGGGCCAGCTCTGACACTGCACAAGACAAAAGGAGTCCGGRCTGAGATCACAGTTCAGACAGGTCCACCTCATCCTCTCCTTCAACCAGGGTCCCTGGCCACCACCGCAGCAGGAAACATGCGCCCTGTGAAACCAAAGGCTGAAAGGGCACAGACAGCCGCTCCTCAGGCACAGAGGTGCTCCAGGAGACTGCTGCTGGGGCTTCCACAGGGGGGCACGCTTCCCGAAGGGTCTGCCCTCCACCCCGCCCCAGGGCAGGCTCAGCAGAGCTTGGTCCTCTGTCCCTGGAGTCACATCTAGGGTGACAGTCACCAGTGACTCTGAAGTGGAARCCAAAGCAGGCAGTGGCTGGCTGAGGGCTAGCCCCAAGTTCGACCGTCTTGCTAAGGAGTTTATTTACACAAGTTTCTATTTCCCTAACGTCCGGCCCAGTGAGTGCCCTGGGAGGTCTCAGCCCAAGACCATCTTCCTTCCCAACCCAATTGAGACCATCACGAGCCTCAGGGAGTCATGTTTAAGAGTGCAAAGTGGCTGCAAGACCCCTCCTGATCTCATTCCATCTACCCCATGTCCACTGCAGAGCTTGGACCAGCAGGAACTGACCCTGGAAACCTGATGGCCGGACTCCATCA